AGCGAAAGCTACACCAACTTCCTAGTCAAGTGACTATTTCTATAATTTTGTCATTAACTACACACTGGAAACCGGATATTGTTCAGGGACTTAATTAGTTAAAAAATTAATTATAGAGCCAAATTCGAAAAAAACAAATTAATATATGAAAAACTTTAAAAAAAATTAATTTAGCAATAATAAATTCTTAAAATGTGTAGGTAAGAATATATTTAAAAATGTAAAGTTTATCCATTTCTAATTAAAAGTAAATTTTTTAATTTTTATTTAAAAATACAAAATTTATATTTTTTTATTTAAACATTAATTAAAGGTTATAACATAACAAACACAAAATTAATATTTTTAAATAAAAAATTAAAAATTTATCACCTTAATAAAAAAATCAACAAAATTTCCATTCTTAAATAGATAGAGATATGCAGACTTATCTGCACACTTTCTCAATAAAGATCTTGCTCCAAAGTTGGAAATCGATTCTAACTTTCCTTTCACGAGCTGTTTCTATGAACTTGGACATACAGAAACGGAGAAGGGGGAGGCCCACGTGTGATTTAAATGCTCCTGCCTGTGACGATTCTCTCTGGCCGAGTTTCAAGCTCCAACGGTATGTTTTTGTTGCTTTCTGGTTCTCTGTAATATGGGATTCTAGATTCTGAGTAGTGTTAATTGATTCAGAATTTTGATTCAGTTTAATTATTCTGTTTAGTCCAATATAGTGTTGCTGTTATCTGGGTTTTTGTTTTTATTGAGTAATTAGATTCACTTCCCTTGAATTTCGATCGCCAATATTCCGGTTTAGTGTTGTTTTCTTCATTGTTCTACTTGAGTTCTCACTCAAAGTTGGATTTTTTACATTAGGTTTTCGATTTTCACTCCAAAGGTCTATTCTTTTGCCCAAAATGAGGGGATTTCTGCTTTCTCTGGTGTCTGTTGTGTTTTTGCTATGTGGGAGTGTTATATGCAAGGAATGTACAAATATGGGTAATGAGTTGCCATCACATACTCTTCGCTATGAACTCTTGAAATCAAACAATGAATCATGGAAGGAAGAGGTTTTCTCTCAATATCACTTGATACATACTGATGACTCATTTTGGGCTAATTTGCTGCCAAGAAAATTGCTAAGAGAAGAAGATGAGTTCAGCTGGTCAATGATGTATAGGAAAATGAAGAATCAGGGTGGGTTTAAGTTGGCTGGGAATTTTCTTAAGGAGGTGTCATTACATGATGTTCGGTTGGATCCAACTTCTTTCCATTGGCGGGCACAACAGACCAATTTACAATATCTGTTGATGCTGGATGTAGATGGACTAGTCTGGAGTTTCAGAAAGACAGCAGGATTGCCAACCCCAGGAGATGCCTATGGAGGTTGGGAGGCACCAGATGTGGAGCTCCGGGGTCATTTTGTAGGTATGAATTTTAGTTTGTGATTTTTGTTAATCATTTCTTGCCTTTAGTACAATATCCATGCTGCCAAGCTTTTAATTATATTATATATATATATCGTACATCATCTGACATGAGTTATACATGAGGGATAACCTTTCCGTTTCCTAAATCCCTCCCACCCATCTCAAAGTTTAAACTCAAGATCTCTAATTTAAAATCTTAGGCTTTGAACTAGTTGAGCCATCCAATGGGGGCTTTAATTATATTATATTATGCAAAAAAGTTTAACATGAAACAGATCCTAAGGTATATTTAAAATGTTATGATAAGAGATGATTCAATCTCACACTATTCATGCCACCCTTTTTGTTTCTTTACCAAATTCAATACTTTAGGCTTTTTGGCTCCTTACTTAAAGCTCTCAAAGTAGAGGTTTTAGCGATATTCCTTTTGTTCCTGTTTCCTGAAAAGAGTACTTTATTCGTGACTGAAAATAATTCTCAAACACTACGAGGATTTCCCTTGCATGGGAAATGCATATTACACCTCTATTGCACCATCTTTTCCTCTTGTAAGCAGTGAACTTTGTCCAGACTCCACTCATGATATTTTCATACTCCTTGCTGTGAAATAATCAATTTATTATTTTCTGGTTCACATGATCTTATTTGCTAAATTACCTTTAAAAATCTTGCAGGGCATTACTTGAGTGCAACAGCACATATGTGGGCGAGCACTCATAATGAGACACTCAAAGAGAAGATGTCTGCGGTAGTGTCTGCTCTATCTGCATGTCAGGAAAAAATAGGCACAGGATATCTGTCTGCATTTCCATCTGAACTATTTGACCGTTTTGAAGCATTAACACCTGTGTGGGCTCCATACTACACCATTCACAAGGTAGATTCTTCTCTCTTTCTTTTTATGGCTGACATTAATTTATTTAGCCTAGGAGAGCAGGAGTAGCATAACACCTATTGGCTTGTTTACTTTGACAGATCTTGGCCGGCCTATTGGATCAATACACATTAGCTGATAACAATGAAGCTTTGAATATGACAACATGGATGGTTGAGTACTTCTATGATCGCGTCCAGAATGTCATAACGAAACACAGCCTGGAGAGACACTGGCAATCACTTAATGTAGAAACAGGTGGCATGAATGATGTACTTTACAGGTTATTTACTATAACGGTGAGTAAACTTATATACCTCTTCTAGCTTTTATTCTTGACTCTGTTGTTATATTATGATTTTGGTAGCATTTTTTCTGAGCTAGTTTGTCTATTTATAGTTTTGATAGCATTTTTGTGGTATTTAATGATGACCATGGTTGCACTATTCTTAAAAGATCAGGGATGCATGCTAAGATGAGCCTTTTTATATCACTACATGCAGGGAAATTCAAAGCATTTGTTGTTGGCTCACCTATTTGACAAACCATGCTTTCTGGGAGTACTTGCAGTTCAGGTAATTATCATAATTTGAACACATTTTTAATTTTTATTGAATGTTAACATATTCTTTCTCTTGCTTCTAGGCTGATGATATTTCTGGCTTCCATGCCAATACGCATATCCCTGTTGTTGTTGGATCTCAAATGCGATATGAAGTAACTGGTGATCCACTTTACAAGGTATGTTACTTGAAACAAGTTACAAATCAATCAATGTACAGCACCCCTGCATATTCTATCTATCTTCACTTGTCTGGTATTCGGCTTGAGTATTGTGAGAAATTAGTTTTTTGACTTTTCACTTGATTCCTCGGGGTGAGAAATGAAGATGGCTGTTAACCCTTTTTTATTCCTTTCAATGATTTAAATGTTAGGGAATGGAGCATATGAATATTTCTTTGAAATATTTGAATTCTCATGTATGTAATTCTTGTTGTACCAGAGTATAGGGACATTTTTCATGCAAATTGTTAATTCTTCTTATAGCTATGCAACAGGAGGGACATCGGTCGGTGAGTTCTGGTAAGGACACTATTCATTTTTTAATATATTTTTATTTTATTAAATTTTTCCTGCTACTTAAACTTTGATGTGCTGGCCCAAGTTGTTATTAAGAAGCAAGAACAATGAGTGAAAGCATATATGCATGAATCTTACAATTACTTATGGTTCAATTTATTCTTGTTCATGATCCCATTCACTTTAACTATGAGTAGGTCAGACCCAAAGCGATTAGCAAGCACTCTAGATACAGAGAATGAAGAATCATGCACAACTTACAACATGCTGAAGGTTTGTATATTCTTGTTCAGTTCTAGAAGGATGGTGACATAACATTTTTTTTTAACAATTCCTATGCCTAAAGTTTTTTAGTGACTTGTAATATTTGGATGATTCCAATGTTTTTCTGAAGGTCTCTCGCCACCTATTTAGATGGACCAAAGAAATTGTATATGCAGATTATTATGAACGTGCCCTGACAAATGGTGTTCTTAGCATCCAAAGGGGAACAGACCCTGGAGTAATGATCTACATGCTCCCACTAGGTCATGGCGTTTCTAAGGCTGTAAGCTACCATGGGTGGGGAACAAAGTTTGACTCCTTTTGGTGCTGCTATGGCACAGGTCTGGATTCATTGCCCACATTCAACTCTACTGTTGAAAATTTAAGCTGCTAATTCAAGTATGATAGATTGGTTTTCCATTTTGCATTTGATTTGACCTCTATTTCAACCTCAGGTGCTTTTTTTTGAAATGGATGTGGTTTTTTTCTCATTAAAAGAAAAACCAATAATGATAAGGAAAAGGAGAAAAATGTAAAATAACTGTCTGTGAGCTGTTCATGTGATATCTGTAGTTCCTCTATCCATTTGATGATTTTTCTTCTTGCTGTGACAGGAATTGAATCATTCTCTAAGTTAGGAGATTCCATATACTTTGAGGAGGAAGGAAGTGTTCCTGGTCTTTACATCAGCCAATATATATCAAGCTCCCTTGACTGGAAATCTGGACAGATTCTAGTGACTCAGAAAGTTGATCCTGTTGTTTCTTGGGATCCTTTCCTTAGAATTACATTGACATTTTCTTCAAAAGAGGTAGCTTTGCAACTAGCTAGTATAAGGCCATGCAAGGCTGTAATCTGTATTTCATTGTTATAAGGAAATGCCATTTTTGTTTTGCTCCATACAGGAAACAGCTCAGCCATCTACCTTGAATTTGCGCATGCCAACATGGACAAATTCAAATGGCACCAAGGCAGAATTAAATGCTCAAAATTTGCCCATACCAGCTCCAGGTGAGAAACAATAACAATTTTCCTCCATTCTAAGTTTCTTGAGCTGACATTTTTTTGTAATAAGTTACAAAAGACAATCCCAAGTTTTTTCCTTTTTCTTTCTGTACATGATAACAAGGGGTAGATATGAATCATATTTTCTATGCAGGTAATTTCTTATCCATCACCAGAAAGTGGAGTGCCAGTGACAAATTAACCCTTCAATTGCCAATTACTTTGAGAGCAGAGGCTATTAAAGGTACAGTCTTTCCAACCCTGCATGAGAAAACAATTGTTTCTCCAATATGCAAAGATGAAACATTGCTGACAATGTTAATAAAAATTTCAGATGATCGTCCTGAATATGCTTCTATTCAAGCAATACTCTATGGTCCTTACCTTCTTGCTGGTCACACCACTGGTGACTGGGACCTCGAAAGCGAATATTCAGACTGGATAACTCCAATCCCTGCTGCTTACAATTCTCACCTGGCTACATTCTCTCAAAAGTCTGGCAACTCAACTTTTGTTTTGAGTAACAAAAATGGGTCAATCACAATGGAAAAATTACCTAAATCTGGCACTGTTGGTGCTGCCATTGCTACATTCAGGGTCATCACTTCAAAAAAATATTCAACTATTAGACAATGCATTGGAAACTCCGTCATGCTTGAACCATTTGATCTTCCTGGGATGCTTCTAGTGACTCAAGGGTCAGATCTTGCAATCACAGATTCTTCCAGTGGGGATGCGTCTTCTAGTTTCCTCTTAGTTCCTGGATTGAATGGAAACTCTGATTCTGTGTCCCTGGAGTCAGTAAGCCAGAAGGGATGCTTTGTATATAGTGGTGTGAACTACCAATCTAGTGTGAACCTGAAGCTACGCTGCAATGTGGAGTCATCTGATGCCAGGTTCAATCAGGCTGCAAGCTTTGTAATGAAGAAGGGAAGAAGCGAATATCACCCTATTAGCTTTGTAGCAAAAGGGGCAAGGAGGAATTTTCTTCTGGCACCATTACCGAGCTTCAGAGACGAACCTTATACTGCTTATTTCAACATCAACCAGCATAAACAATTTGAGTGAGTGTTGGAAATCGTGGCCACGAGCTTGCCACCAAACAATAAAACATCATCTGTCTGCTACTTCACTAGGTTGAAGTTGCATAATTATTTTTTTTCCAATAAATGTGCTTTTCATTTTCAAGTGTTTGAAGTCTATAACGTTTTAAATTGTAACTGAATTTATCCATATCCTAAAAAATTTAAATCGTACACTAATGAAGGACCTCATTCATGCTAAATTTTCTATCTTTTTCAGTTAATTTGTTCACTGTTTATTTTGTTTGTTTGAATTCAAGCTGAAACCATTGTGTTCCAAATTGTAACTGAATTCAACCAAATCATAAGAAGTCTACAACATACACTATATATTCTATTTCCTTTTGTAGTAAGGTTGCTAGGACGCAGGGCATATGCTCTCTATATATATTTGTACAGCACAGAGCTTGAGACACATATATGAAAACTATTTCAGTAATATTCTTCACTGTCTATGTTTTTTTGTTTGACAGTAAGAAACTTAAGTTAGTTAATGTGTTAGTATCTGTAGTGTTAGTGAGAAAACTCAAACACTTGGAAAGGGTGCAAACCACTGACTGCCCATTTGAATAGTATTGATCACCATTGAACCACAATAGGAGAATGCTTCACTGTCTATGTTTTAAGTACTAATAAGTTGTACTCCAACCCCACCGAAATTATTCTAGCCTTGAGGGACTCAATAAATTAGAAAAAGAATCAGTTTTACAATTTCGTTTACACTGAATTTTTTTAGAGATTATTATACAAATAAAATTTATAATATTAAAAAATTTAACTCTCATTAAATAATTAATATATTATAATTTAATACAATTTAAATTATATCACACTTTTTAATTAAAACATATATATATTTTTGTACTATGGAGAAAATATGTAAATTTAGCATATGGCTGTGGTTAGTTTTGGCGCAGGACCTCCAACAAAATTTAAGAGAAGACCTGGCACGATGGGCATTGAAAGATATTGTTGGGATTAAGCTCAACACCTATTTCGAGCCACACGCAACAAGTCCAGTTATATGCTCATCGGCGCAAGATGAGAAGAAACACTCACATGGACACTCACATGGACAGTAACATGTGGATCAATTGGATGGATACATGTCTGAACTCATGTCAGTATATGGGGTTATAAATACCCCAAACTACCTCTATGTAAGGTATTAATTTCACTACGCTTCTCTCTGCAATTATTCTTTGAGAGCATTTCTCTCTAGAAGTCAAAGTATTTTTTCTCGAAAAAACATCTTCGAAAATTTCAGGTGTTGAAGCAGTTGGAGATATCTACGGTATTGGATCTCAAAGCTGCCCAAACAGATATCATTCCTTGCAGTCGGTTCCAATTCCACCGTAAAACCGACCCAACACAATAGTACGTAGCGTCACCGTCACCCTTAACTTTCCAGGTGCAGTGTCTGAATCTCAAATCTAACATAAAATGACCAAAGAAACCGTCAGGTTTTCTGGTGTTGGGAAGGGAACGATTGTTAAGTTGTCAAATGAGAAGAATAGATAATACATGATCGAGTTGAAAATGGAAATCTTGATTAATTAAAGATTATTCATTATTGAATAAAATTAAATAAAAAAAAAGGTGAAGTGTAAATTTTGTTGTTTCTTAAATCGACGTGCATCAAACTTGACAAATTCGTTAGCGACGGAGGAATCCTCCCGATGATCTGGTTGTCTGCGATGTTCAACTTTATTTAACTTTCATATAAGATGCCATTTTGATTTATGTTAAGGTGTAAGTGTAATTAGGACAAATGTTTTGTTTTTCCATGATAATGAAGAGGAGATTAATAGATATATCTTTCGGTTTAATACATTATACAAAATATTTATTAAAAAATTATTATTTTTTAATATAAAATTATAGATAAATAAACTTAAAAATATAATCATATATATAGCATGCAAAAACTAATTGAATTAATTGTAATTACATTATATTTTAATGATTAAACTAAATGAGTATTAAAAATTATATTAAATTGAAAGATGTGTATCAATCATTTTACTAATGAATAATTAGGACATGAAATGAACGGAATGCAAAAATGGGGCTAACCGGATAAGAAGAATATTGATGCATGTGTGGATCAAGGTGTGAAAGGCTGGAAATAGTTTGGGGTCAACTGAGAGTCAATTATACATCTTGATTAATGTTTCAGGACAGAATACTTGAATCTGTGTCTGCCATAAAGGATTCACTTGATTTGGAACGTGAGAGGAACTAGTCGTCTATTAATGTCACTTAATTCATCAGTTAATGTGTATAATCAATTTGAATACTTGACCTAGATCGTTCAACCACTAAATCATCAGGCTCATGATATATATATATATATATAGCTACCTGGCTCCATCTAGATTAGACGATCAGAATGTGGGTCATTGATATCATTGATGTTCATCGAGTATGAACAAGCCATGACATTCCCATATGCTATGTTGTTAGATATCTTCTTTTACATAGATGTCAAACCAGAGAAATGTATTGAGTCCCATTATTGTCATTTAACTGTAAACAATTCTAATAAATTAGGCATATTATTTTTGAAAGTAAAAATTTATCATTCATATTATAAACAAAGTTTTTCTTTTTCTTTTCTTTTTTTTTTAAAAAGGCAGTTATAAATAAAGTAATTTACAAGTGTACCCAAGATTAATTGATTCCTATATTTAACCCAAAAAAAAAAAAAAAGCAGTCAAAAGAAGTGTAATCTAATCATGCACACATTAATCCATTCAAATATATATATATATATATATATATATTAGGAAGTAGGTAAGTGAAGGGTCAAGCAGGTGCAAAAACCATATATATCTTATCCACAAGCCTCCTTCCTTCAATCAAAGAAGATGATTCAGATCAAGATCGATGATGTAGAACAAATACTAAATAAGTGTTCATTTTGTGATTCAAAGATTTTGAACAAATTTTGACAAAATGTAATAGAATAAGGTGATGCCATCCTTTAAGGGTCAGGAACAAATACATAGACGGTAATCTCTACCTAATACATTGATTTTTACCTATTACAACAACTTTTACCTAACACATTAATTATGATGTAGAAGTTTGCTGCATTTTGTGTGGTTTTATGCTGCGGTTATATATTAACAATTTGTTAATTTAAATGAAAAAAATTTAATTTTTTAAAATAAATTTTTAAATTTAAATTTTATAAATAAAAAAATAAATATTAAAATTTTTTTTTCCTCACACATGTTTTAATGCAACTCAACTCTAAATTAATCAAAACTCAATATAAATTTTAAATAAAAAGAAGTTAGTATTAAAAAAAAAAAAAATGCTGCCGCTGCAGCCCCATTTTTGCTTTTGCTGCCATTGTCTTGCAGCTTGGACACCACTAACTCCAACAGACCAGCGCATAGCGGTTGGTGAAGACTAAAAGAGGGTAATAAGATTTAGAGAGTGTTTAGTTGAGGAAATTTTTTTTTTTAATTTTTAAAATTTTTTATAAAGTTTTAATTTATATAAAACATATAAATTTTAATTTTAATTTAATTAATTAATTAATTAAAGTTATTTATATAATAATATTATTAAAATAAACATTAATTTTTATAATTTTTATATAACTTAGTTATAAAAAATATATATTTATTACATACTTAACCTATAATTTAATAAACTTAAGAAAAATCTTCTAAATGAGTCGCGAATTAAAATTTGACTTTTGGAGGAGAAATATTAGACAGACCTTAAAAAAAAAAAAATCTTCTAAATCAGTTGCGTATGAAAATTTGACTTTTGGAATGGACATCCAAATAATTAACGGCACTCCAGTTTAAGTATGAATTTATGGTGGCAAGACCACCCAAATGTCCAGGTATGAATTCAATGTTTTTGTGCAGCTTGGTACCTAACATTTTCTTCCTCACGCTTGAATTTTTGCCAACGACTTGACTTCATGTAGAAGTAGCTTTCTATTTTTATTTTTTAGTTAGTGGAATTGTTGAGGATAAAGAAAATAGTGTCTGAGAATAGATTCATAAACTCTAACGCTTAGATATGTTTTTATAAAAAAATGGTCACTAAATCATCTAATGCCAGATAAAAGTAATTTTTCATAAATATTAAAATATCGTGAAAACGAATAAATATCAAGAAAATTAATGGAGTTTTTGCTAAGCTCTTCCCCACAAAGAATTTATATATTAAAATTATAATAAAATAAAAATAAAATTAATATTTTTATTTTTTATTTTTTAGATAATTTTCAATTCATCCTTATTTTATAAATAAAAAATTTCTCTATAATTATCTTTATATAAAATTCACTTCAAATTTTTTTATTTTTTATATTAATTTTTTCAAATACAATAAAATTAATAATTGAATAAAATTTTAATATGAATCTTAGTAATTTTTCTTAAAATACATTTTAATTTTTCATACCTACCTTTCTTCACTACATTTTTAATAACAGCAATGCTAGGGACATTCGCCAATGAGCAGTGCTAGCGGCACTCACCTCTTGCACTCCCCGGCCAACACTTCCCCTGTCATTGGGCTACGTAGTACTACGTGAGCTTGTTTTAGGCTTTGAACTTTGAAGTGCACCCCCTTACAAACCAAAATAACGTGGCCCAATAAAAGTGAAAGTGTTCGCCGGAGGGTGCAGGAGGCCAGTGCCCCTAGCATTGCTCTTCGCCAATTGCACTCTCCAACCAACACTTCCACTTTCATTGGACCACGTTTGTTTTGGTTAGAAGAGGTTGCATCTCATAGCCTTACAAGTAAGCTAACGTGATCCAATGAAAAGGCATGTGTTGGCCGTGCAGGAGGCTTGTGCCCCTTGGCACTGCTCTTTTAATGAAAACATTCCTCCACACTCTAACCGAACAACCTGTAAGAGTTTCTCTGTCTCCTTGAAGAAAGGGATTTCCTTCAGAAGTTCAGGGGATCTTTTTGGGTTTCAGAGAGGAGTGCCGACAGCCAAAAAAATATGTATCAAAGATTCTAAAAATAAAAAATAAAATCTAGCTGCTTTTGGGTTCGGTTTTCTTCTCTTAATTTCTGGATAGAAGAAGAGGAAAGCTCACGGATAGAAGAGGGAAGCTGTAAGCTTTAGGTAACAATTTTCCTCTTTTTGTTCTTTCTTTTTTATCATTATGTAATTTCAGTACAGTTATTCAAATGAAGCGTTGAATTTTGTTCTGGTTTTAGGGCTGTTCGGATAGAGGATTAACCTTTCTAGGATTAACTAAGACGAGTTCAGCTGGTCAATGATGGATAGGGAAATCAAGAATCTGGATGGGTTTAAGTTGGCTGGGAATTTTCTTAAGGAGGTGTCATTACATGATGTTCGGTTGGATCCAACTTCTTTCCATTGGCAGGCACAACAGACCAACTTACAGTACCTGTTGATGCTGGATGTAGAAAGACTAGTCTGGAGTTTCAGAAAGACGGCAGGATTGCCAACGCCAGGAGATGCATATGGAGGTTGGGAGGCACCAGATGTGGAGCTCCGGGGTCATTTTGTAGGTATGAATTTTAGTTTGTGATTTTTGTTAGTCATTTCTTGCCTCTAGTACAATATCCATGCTGCCAAGCTTTTAATTATGTTAAATATTTTTTTGGTATATCTCTGAGGATGGCTTATACGAGAAGGATAATTTTTCCCTTTTCCAAATACTTCTTAATCAATGTATAAGGTTTAAATTTGAGATTTTTAACTTAAAATCCTCAAATTTTTAACTAATTTAGTCATCATAATTCATAAGGCTTTAATTATATTATATTATGCAAAAAAGTTTAACATGAAACAGGGCCTAAGGTATATTTAAAACGTTATGATAATCGATAATTCAATGTCACACTATTCATGCCACCCTTTTTTGTTTCTTTACCAAATTCAATACTTTAGGCCTTTTGGCTCCTTACTTAAGGTTCTGATGATAGAGGTTTTATCGATATTCCTTTTGTTCCTGTTTCCTAAAAAGAGTACTTTCTTCGTGGCTGAAAACAATTCTCATAGGATTTCCCTTGCATGGGAAATGCATATTACACCTCTATTGCGCCATCTCTTCCTTTTGTAAGCGGTGAACTTTGTCCAGACTCCACTCATGATATTTTCGACCTTCTTGCTGTGAAATAATCAATTGATTATTTTCTGGTTCACATGATCATATTTGCTAAATTACCTTTACAAATCTTGCAGGGCATTACTTGAGTGCAACAGCACAAATGTGGGCCAGCACTCATGATGAGACACTCAAAAAGAAGATGTCTGCAGTAGTGTCTGCTCTATCTGCATGTCAGCAAAAAATGGGCACAGGATATCTGTCTGCATTTCCATCTGAACTATTTGATCGTTTTGAAGCATTAAAACGTGTGTGGGCTCCTTATTACACCATTCACAAGGTAGATTCTTCTCTCTTTCGTTTTATGGCTGACATCAATTTATTTAGCCTAGGAGAGCAGGAGTAGCATAACACCTATTGGCCTGTTTACTTTGACAGATCTTGGTCGGCCTATTGGATCAATACACATTAGCTGATAACAATGAAGCTTTGAATATGACAACATGGATGATTGAGTACTTCTATGATCGCGTCCAGAATGTCATAACGAAACACAGCCTGAAGAGACACTGGCAATCACTTAATGTAGAAACTGGTGGCATGAATGATGTACTTTACAGGTTATTTACTATAACGGTGGGTAAACTTATATACCTCCTCCTCTAGCTTTTATTCTTGACTCTGTTGTTATATTATGATTTTGGTAGCATTTTTTCTGAGCTAGTTTGTCTATTTATAATTTTGACAGCATTTTTGTGGTGTTTATCGATGACTATAGTTGCACAATTCTTAAATGATTGGGGATGTATGCTAAGGTGAGCCTTTTTATGTCACTACATGCAGGGAGATTCAAAGCATTTGTTGTTGGCTCACCTATTTGACAAACCATGCTTTCTGGGAGTACTTGCAGTTCAGGTAATTATCATAATTTGAACATATTTTTAATTTTTATTGAATGTTAACATATTCTTTCTTTTGCTTCTAGGCTGATGATATATCTGGCTTCCATGCCAATACACATATCCCTATTGTTGTTGGATCTCAAATGCGATATGAAGTAACTGGTGATCCACTTTACAAGGTATGTTACTTGAAACAAGTTACAAATCAATCAATGTACAGCACCCATTCATATCCTAGCTATCTTCACTTGTCTGGTATTCTGTCTGAGTGTTGTGAGAAATTAGTGTTTTGACTTTTCACTTGATTCCTTGGGATGACAAACGAAGCTGGCTGTTAACCATTTTTTATTCCTTTCAATGATTTAAATGTTAAGGAAAGAAGCTTATGAATATTTCTTTGAAATGTTTTAATTCTCATGTATGTAATTCTTGTTGTACCAGAGTATAGGGACATTTTTCATGCAAATTGTTAATTCTTCTCATAGCTATGCAACAGGAGGGACATCAGTTGATGAGTTCTGGTAAGGACACCATTCATTCTTAATATTTTTTTATCATATTAAAATTTTATTGCTAGTTAAACCTTGATGTGCTGGTCCAAGTTGTTATTAAGAAGCAAGAACAATGAATTAAAGCATATGTGCATGAATCTTACAATTACTTACGGTTCAATTTATTCTTGTTTGTGATCCCTTTCACTTTAACTACGAGTAGGTCAGACCCAAAGCGATTAGGAAGCACTCTGGGTACAGAGAATGAAGAATCATGCACAACTTATAACATGCTGAAGGTTTGTATTTTCTTGTTCAGTTCTAGAAGGATGGCGACCATAACATTTCTTTTAACAATTCCTATCCGGAAGTTTTTTAGTGACTTGTAATATTTGGATGATTCTAATGTGTTTCTGTAGGTCTCTCGCCACCTATTTAGATGGACCAAAGAAATTGTATACGCAGATTATTATGAACTTGCCCTGACAAATGGTGTTCTTGGCATCCAAAGGGGAACAGACCCTGGAGCAATGATCTACATGCTCCCACTAGGTCGTGGCGTTTCTAAGGCTGTAAGTGAACATGGGTGGGGAACAAAGTTTGACTCCTTTTGGTGCTGCTATGGCACAGGTCTGGATTCATAGCCCACATTCAACTCTCCTGTTGAAAACTTGAACTGCTAATTCAATTATGATAGATTGGTTTTCCATTTTGCGTTTGATTTGACCTCTATTTCAACCTCAGGCACCTTTTTCTTTTCTTTTCTTTTCTTTT